CCTTCTGGAACAAATGTGACCAAGCTGTGAAAGCTATTATGCATCATGGACGCTGCGCTCTGGTCATGTGTATAGACGCAAATGGACAAGTTAAACCGGCGTTACCCTGGATAGGATATGGTGGGTCTTCGGTGAGACTTCAGAGCGCCGTTCGACAGGGCTATAAGAATTTGAATGCTGACGCCCTTCTGGACCTTGTTCGTGACTATGATCTTCGTGTATTGAATTCTTTTGGATCGGCATCAGTGGCTGATGGTACGTGGCAACATCCATGCACTAAGAAATGGCATCGGGCCGATTTTATTATTGCTAAGGCTGTGGGTAATAGGTACCGCACCGCTCAGGTGCTGAAGTCGCGTGCACTGTCTCTGGGTGGTGCGCGCGACCATCGTGTGGTGCAGGCCGCCTTCTCTCTTGGTGCATTATACAAACGGCGGGCTAGAGGTGAAGCGCAGCAGCGATGGGATCGACAGCTGTTGCTCAACACGCTTTTCGAAGATAGGAATTCTGATGAGGGGGCTAGACGGGCTGTTCAGTTTCGTGCTCGAGTGGATCTGCTCCTTCACGATAGACATGATGGTGCCCTGCTTCGACCGTGGGAGCAAGTGCGTGGACATTTTCTGGTCTTTGATAGTACTACCTCGTACTTGGCTGCGCTTGAAGCGACAGTTGTTGATGCGGCTGCTCCGATTTTTGTTATGGATCCGAAGTCGAAATCGTGTAGGTCTAACTGGAATTTTTCTGACGAAGCGATTGCTTTGATTCAACGTAAGCATGCACTTCAGAAGCGACTGGCTATTATCCAATGCAGACGGGCAGGCTCCCAACAGGAAATGCATGCGATGGCGAAGTGGAAGCAGGCTCGTCGCGACGCTAAGCTGGCGATTAAGGCCGAGAAGCAAAAGGCGGCATAAGCTCTCTGTGGGGAAGCTGAGGAGGCTGCACGCAGGCAAGACATAAGAGGAGTATATAAGTTGGTCCATAGATTAGCTCCAAAACCGTCTGCGCCGATGGTGACCGTGTGGGATGGGAACGCGCCGTGTATGGATCTTGACCATGAGATGGATGTTCGTACTCAGGCTTTGATTCAGATACTTGAGGGTACGGAACTTCCGCTGGATGAGCGCCCCCCCTTGGCCTGCCAGCGCGCGGTTGAAGAAAATGATAAGCTGCATCATCTTATTAATATCACGCAAGAGACGGTCGAGAATGCTATTGGGTCTTTGCCGAATAACAAAGCTGCACCATGATTACGGATTGCGCAGGATTCTGATGTGAACGTGACCTTTTCAGTGGGTGCCGTTGCTGAGCTCTGGAAACTTGCTCTTCCAGTTGTGGCACTACCGCTTACTTATCTCGTCGCTGCTGTGGGTTCTCGTTTGGAGATCCCATCACAATGTAAGGGCGGGGAGACTGTGTTTCTGAGAAAACCAAAAGGTGACGGGTCGAATGCTGCCAACCATTATCGTACTTTGAATATCTTGGCGCACTTGGGTAAGATGGTTTCTAGATTAGCTTTATCACCGTTTCGATATGGGTTGGCTGCTGCTGTGTATCGGTATTCCAGTTTGGGGCTCTTCCTGGACGTGCTACTCGGGACGCTCTGGCATGTTTTGATGAAATACTCCGAAGGTTCAGAAATTCCAGGAAATCTAAGAGAAAGGTGTCTATCTTGGCGGCTATCTTGTTTGACCTCGAGAAGGCCTTTGATAAGTTGGCCAGGGATGATATCTGGAGGGCTCTTGAGGACCTCGCTCTCTCTAAGGGGTTAGCTCTATTTGAAGAACGCCTCCATGATGGCACCTGCTACCTGGTTCGGGATATCAAGACTCAGAAGGTTATGCGGAGGCTCTGGATCCAGAAAGGGGTGCGGCAGGGCAGTGTTGAGGGACCTGCTCTCTTTCTCGCTGTGTATGAGTTCGTGGTCAGAGATATCCAGAAGGCCCGTGAATCTGCTGGCTATGACCCCATCAGCGTGTGCTTTGACCCGACTCTCACTAAGAGACGTGAGCACGGCACGCTGTTGAGCACCGACCTTGATCTTGTCTCTCTGGATGCGTCGCAATTGGAGTTTGTCGATGACCTTGTCTCCTTCTTGGAGGTGGCGGACTTCGGGGTTATCGAGGATTTTGTTTCGCTTGTCCAGAGTGCGGTCCTGGAAAAACAGATGAAGGTCAATGTCAGCAAAACCGAGGCTTTGTTCGTGGTCCGCGGGAAGGGCTCCAAGAAGCTCAACACCGATATCCAAAAAAAGATGGTGAAGTTTGGTGCGGGGGACTCGGCCTTTTCGGCCACGCCGTCGGTTAAGTACGCGGGGGCTCAGGTGAGAGGGGGCGGTAGGTCTTCTGAGGAGATCACTACTCGTATTTCTAAGGCCACAGCCGCACATGCTCGACTTACCCTGCGAGTTTGGCGTAGCACATCCATATCTACCGCATTGAAGATTCGGCTTTGGAACTCCCTGGCCCGCTCTATCTTACTGTATGCGACCGAGGTGTGTGTCATGACGGCCTCCGACGAGGCCCGGGTTGAACGTTTCCAGACCAAAAAGCTTCGTCATCTGTTGAAGAGCCCAGTGCACCTCGAACGAGTTTCGAACCCAGTCATTCGTGAACGTGCTCGTGTATTTAGTATCCATCCTACTCTTGTGCATCGACGGTTGTGCTGGTGGAGACATGTTCTGCGACCTGTTTTCCTTGAGGACCCTGCTGGTGCCCCGCTTGCATATGACGGCTCCGTGGGCGTCCGTGCTCTAATGTTTGGAAGGCTATCTTTTGAAACAGAAGGAGGTGGAGGTGGGTGTGCTGTTAGTGATCGAATGGCCTCTCTGTGTCGTGATCTCCGTGAGCTTTTATCCTCTCTCCCCGAGGCCCGCAGAGCCGAATTGTGTCAGAGTGCTGGTCTCGATGTCGTCGGCGATATTATCGAACGTGAGTGGCTTCGGGAGTTGGCACTTATGCCTATTGCGTATCTTAAGTGTGTTCTGTCTTTTCATTCTCGCCACGACGTAAGTGGCTTTGAAGTTGTTCGCTCGATTGTGTGTCCTGGGTGTGGTGAAGTCTGTAATGGTGAACGTGGGTTAGCCATGCATAGAGCTCGTATGCATAGCGCACGTCCGCTTGCAGATGTGTCTGATCTGAAGTGCCCACTGTGCCAGCAGCAGTTCACACGTCGTGACACTCTTTTGCGCCATGTTCGACAACGTTGCACTGCGTCATTGGAGGCACGGGCTCAAGCTCTTCAAGTTTCAGTGGATCAGATTCCACAGGCCCCTCGAGCGCCCCCTGCTGTGCTTCGGAGGCCCGCGGCGGTGCTTCGACGACCTGCAGCTGCCAGTCACGACGCAGATGGCGATGTTCGGAGAGTGGGGCGCGTCGCTGACTGCAGGGAGCGAGGCCCCCAGGCGCAAGCGAGAGGGCAAGGGCGAGGGAGAGGCAAAGGAAAAGGACGAGGACGAGGTACCGACCAACTTGAAGAAGTTGGCGATGGCGATGGCGGAGTGTACGATGCAGCTGGTGGACGAGAATCGCAGCCACGCCAGAATCGACAACCTCGTGCTGCAGTCGCCGTCGGACGGGGTGTTCGCCAAGTTGATGCGCAAGCTGGAGACAGACTATACCAAGGAGGGAAAAACGGCAAGGGCAAAGGCAGAGGAAGAAAACAATGATTTTCGTGGTCACCCGCACGGAAAGAAACCTGATGTGTATGGGCGTGGCTTGATGGTTCGCTTGTCTCAGTTCCCACTGCAGCCTGGGATGATGGACAAAGTCAATGCCACGGGGGCAGCGCTGCAGGCAGTCAAAAATGTCATTGCCTTTGGCGAGCGTGCTAAGGCTGACACTTCGATACGTTGTCAGCGAGCCTTTCGAGTGGAGGTGGAGGTTGACGGTGTTGCAATGGATAAGTGGATATTCTTCTTTCCTCGGGAGGCTGTGATGAATGACCTCCGTATCCTGATGTTTGACAGCGCGCTTGAGAAAGTAGGCATGTTTATCCTTGAGGATTTTGCGCCGAGGACAGCCGCTGCTAAAGAGGTGGCGGCGTTGGCGTTCAAACCAAAGAATTCAAAGAGTGGTCCTTCTGCAAAGAAGAAGGCCAAGAAGTCATAATCTCTCGTGATGATGTGTTGCGAGTGGCCGAGGCACTGCGCAGAGGCGTGGTGCTGGACGCTCGCGGCAGAGCCTGGCCGCAGAGGTGGTCAGCGCTGCGGGTGTTGCCGCGCCGTGCCCGCAGTGCCGCAGGAAGTCTATAACATATTATAGAAGCCTCGCTAGAAGCCTTGAGGGGTTGAGCGTAGTAATATATATATATATAACTATGCACATCTCTATATACATGCAGCTATATATATATATATATATATATATAGCTACAACTAGATGTACACGCGTACAAACGTACACATACGTATACACACGCACGCGAAACATGCTCCAATGGCGCGGTGTTGGCCGTGCTGGAGCTTCACATAACGCAACATTCACGCGGTCGTTGCAAGCACCTGTTTTGGCGCGTAGCCGTGGGGTTCTCGAGAGGAAACGGGCCCCAAGTGTCCCGCTTGCCCAACGCCAACGTGACCTATGCCGACGCACACGGGAAATTCATCACCAACCTGCGTTACCATCATCGTCACCTCGCCCCTCCTCCTGCGCCGTGAGCCCCCTAATGCCTCACGGGAGCGCTCAAGACCTCACATGGTGGGCCCCCCGACGGCCGGCCCGTTCAGCAAACGGAGCAGCACCTGCCGTCGACCAGTTCTCACAAGATCGGATGGATTCTTCCTCGCTCAAATCCCTTTTCGCTCGATCGTTGGCCAAGGTCCCCCCCTACTCCTCACTCCTAACATCCTTCCTCTTCTCCTGATACGTCGTATCTCCCTCCATCCTGCATCGTCCTCACTCCTCTCTTCCTCCCTCCCTCCCATTTCCAGGTTGCGTGATCCCTGTTGTGGTGTGCTGAGGCGGGTGGCGCCCCCCAGTCCGTCCGCCGCCGCGGCTGCCAGGGCGCTGGGGCGCCCAACCACGGCAAGCCGAACCAGCCAAAGCCGCCACAGGCGCCGGGAGCGGGGGCGCGGGCCACCTTTCGGCTTCTGTTTCAGTTTTGTCCTCAACCTTGGCCCCAGCCTCGACCTTCATCCCACCTCCCTCTCAACCTCTGCCTCCCCCCCCCCCTCATTCTTCTCCTCCGTCTCCCTCACTCCTCCCCTTGCCTCCCCCCATTCCTCCCGACCTCAGCCTCCCACTCCCCCCCTTTTCCGCTCTCTCCCCCCTTCGCCCTCGGACGCCCTCGCCTTCCCCTGACACCCCCTCGCCTTCGCTGTGCCCTCCAAGCTCCCTTCGGCCTCCGCCTCCCCCTTCCGCCCCTCAACCTCCATATCAGCCTCAATCTTCAACCTCAGTCCCGGATGCGCGGTGCTTCGCGCGAGGCTCCTTTACATCTGCATTCCAGGGGCGGGGCGCTGGAAGCCGCCGGATGCGTAGCCCAACGCTTCTTCTGCGCGGGCCGCGCGGGCGACTCGTCCCATGTCGTGGGGGGCGTGCTCGGACAATTTCCACAGAAGCGGGGTTCTCCCCCCTCCCCCCAACCGGACGGCTCTGAAGAGGTAGGCGCGACGCCGCCCAGGCCCTCATCAGGGAGGTTGAGGCCCAACTTCGCCGTTGGTGGATTTTCGGTGTCTCCACGCGGCCGTCGTACGACGAAGGGCAGGGCTGAACCTGGAGGCGTCCCCTGGGTAGACCACGGCCGCTGCGGCGGGCTGTCTGTTTGCGAGGTTCCACCTTCCAGACAGTGCAGGGTCTGCTCGTTCCCACGCACCGCGGGCAACTGCATTGGACTCCTCATCATGTGTATGCGAAGCTGGTTTCTTCTTTCCTTCTGATATGCCTTTTCTATTTGTTCAATACCTCTATGACCTTGTTTGGGTGGCTACCCGCACGAACACGTAAACACCGCCTTTGTTTTGTTGTTTGTTTATCGCGCCTTTCCGATGTCTTTCAGTGTTGAAGTTTAAACCGTGTCCCTTTGCGTGGATCTGGGGGGGACGGATGAGGTAGGGGGAGGGACCGGGAAGGGAGGAGGACATGGGGAAGGGACGGTAAGGAAGGAGGACAGAGGACAGAGGAAGGCGTGAACGGGAAAGGAGGAGGACAGATAATAGAAGAAGGCGGAGTGCGGATGGAGACGGGAGGTGGAGAGTAATGACCGATGAGGTAGGAGGGATAAGGGCCGATGGAGACCGTGAGAGCAACAATTGGTTTCAGGAGGACGATGCCGAGGAAGAGGAATTGGAGTTGTCCAGACGTGTGGGAGAGGGTGGGACATGATGGAGGAAAGGAAACAGAGGGCGGTGATGAGAAAGAGAAGGGAGGAGGAAGGAGGGGTGAGGATGATGACGAGGACGATGAGGAGGAGAAGACCGTGACGTTGGAGCTGGAGTTGTTCATGCTCGTGGTCTGCGGCCTCTAGCTACAACTTGTACGCGCGCGCGAGTGTTCTGCTACGGGTTAGCTAATTCGCTACCTGAACTCATGTACACATGCCAGGGAGCTTGAGACATATGACGTGGCTGGCCTGGGCGAGAGCATGTGAATCCAGACATGCGTATGCTCATTTTTTCTGGTACTCCTTGGCAACCATGCGGCAACCCCGCAGCCATGCAGTGGGGTCGTCAGACGTGTGAATGTATTTGCACATGTGCGTGCATTCGTGTATCTAGTGGCCTTCTGCCCATCTCGCTGCCGTGCCTGGGTTGAAGGTCAGAGGCCTCTTTGGGAGGCCTCTCAGCCTCGTTGAGGCGGTTTCGGTGTGGGGGTCTCTCGGGTTGACCTGATTTGGACCTCTTGGGGCCTGCTGGCGGTCTCGGGGGTCATCCTGGGGCGGAGAGCTCGAGAAATGTCGGTCTGTGTTCCCCTGTGGGGCTCTCTTGGGGCCGTCTTGGGGACATCTTGGGGGTCTCTCGGGCCAGGAGCGTCGGAAGCTTGGAAAAGGTGAGTCTGCTAAAATCGCTTCATAGCCTCAGGGAAAACATGACTCCTTAGGCCCTCTTGGGGTGTGGGGTGCCTCTTTGAGCTCTCTTGAGGCGTCTTGCGGGTTTCTTGGTCCATCTTGAACAAGTTTGTGTGTTTTGGAGAGCTCTTGGGACGTCTCGGGCCCTCTTGGATCCTCTCAGGAGCCTCTTGACGAAAGGCCTCTCAGAGACCTCGGGGAGATCTTGGGAGGCATCTGAAAAGCCTCTTGGCGATCTTTGGGGCAGCTTTGCCGAGTTCGGGCTTATTCGCATGCTGGATGTATGGCAACAGCGTGTCTGTTTTTCTTTGGGACTTCTTGGGCCATCCTCACAGGCTTTCAAGATGGCCCAAGAAGCGCCCACGAGAGCTGCAGGATGGGCCCAGAGAACATCTTAGGCCATGTTGAACACACTTTACCTCCTAGTCACGCTTCCCAGGTGTCTGAACGAATCACTTGAGCCGCCCCAGTAGCACCCACGAGCGCCGGAGAGCGCTCGCAATCCTGGCCCTGGGCACCTTCAAGAGTTCATGTGATGATATTTTCAGAGAATTCGAAGTGTCCTGCGGCCATCTAACTTCACGCCTCGAGGTAAGGTGCCAGTTCACCGTATTCCAGCCGCGATACCTCCAGCCTATTCGCCTACGGCAGACGGCAGAACAGTCGACCTAGCCAGAGCATGTGGCCACGAGCGCGTCGGCTGCCGACTTTGGACAACATGCCCAGGCTGCAGCTGACGTCGCTCTGCAGCGGCCACTGGCACAGAGGGTTGTGAGTGAATTCCAGTGCCCTGGCCGCGCGCTAGGTGAGGGCATATTCAGTTGCATGAGGTAGGTTCCTGACCGCCACACCTTCCCTCGCCTTGCAGCGCCCTGCCCTAGATTCTCCCAGCGCCCTGCTCTGCTCGTGCGAGACGTCTCTTGTTAGCAATCGCACTAGTTCAGGAAATACCAAGTCAGCCCCGTGGGTGACACCACGCTGGATTGGTGGGTGCAAGATGTGCTCGGCGCAAGGCGAGGGGGATATCGTGGAGGAGATAAAGGAGGAGGACGAGGAGGAGGAGGGGGAGGAGGAGGAGGAGGAGGCGGCGCCACGCACTCTTCACACCAGCAGCGGCCAACCGACCGCCGCCAGGCGCGGGTGGCAGCCACAGGCGCGGCGTTGCAGGCGGAGGCCTCGCCTGGCGGCCCGCTGTTCTTTCAACGACCCTCTCATGTGCCGGGCCCACGCGGCCAGACTAGGACGCGGATGCGTGGCCGTTCATCGCTGGAGCTGGCGCAAGAGGCGAGCTGTCCAGGGGGAGCATCACCCGAACTCGTGTTCGAACATCGTCGACCATGCAGCCGATTTGATCCTGTTGAATCGCGAAATGCCCTGTGGGTTACCAGTCCTTTCTGCCACCGCTAAAGGCGATGTTGTCATTGGGGGCCGAAATCCACATGTGCGCATGTTTCATTGGAGTCCAACGAGACCTAACCAAATTTCTGACCTGGGCACCAGGCAGCTTGGACTGCTGAAGACGCATGGACCTGGCCCAAACGATGGACGCATCTTTGGCTCGATGCATAGGGGGCTTGACTTGAGCGAACTTCCTAACACAGCTAAGGTCTGGCACATACCAGCCGCTGCAAGCGTGCTGGTTAATATTTTCTGCTGGGCTTCAGGCTTGTGCGTATGCAACAGCATCCAAACATGCAGCTACGTCGTCGAGGGCTACTGGTGATGTCAAACAGGATGCAACCGACATCTTGCAATGCTTGTGACTTGGGTTTGCCGCACATATGCAATCATAACGTGTTTTCCGCTGTTGCCCATATGTGTTCAATCATGCTCGGTCACAACGTGTTCATCCGCTGCTTGCCTGCTCGATCACAGCGACTCTGGCCTTGCGACTCCCCACCTGAATTGTCAGCTGCTTGCTGTTCCCTTGATCTCTTCCCGTCCCCCTTTCTCCATCTTCTTTCTCCTTGCCGTCCTCCTCGCCCTGATCCTCCCCGTCGTCCCCCTCCCCGCACTCCTCGTCTTCCGCATGTCTCTCTCTCTCTCTCTCTCTGTGTTCCTCTCTTGTCTCTCTGTCTCGATCGTTGCCGATGTACACATGTATATGTTCTATATATGCATGTACATACATGCATACATACATACATACATTCATACATACATACATATATGCATGCATACCTACATACATACATACACACATACACACATACACACATACATACATACCTACACACCTACACACATACATACATACATGCATGCATGCATGCATACATACATACATACACAAACATACACACATACATACATACATACATACATACACACAATCATACATACATACATACATACATACATAAATACATACACACGTACATACATTCATCCATACTTAATTACTTACATACACACATACATACACACATACACATACATACATACATACATACATGCATGCATGCATACATGCATGCATACCGAATTACTTATTTACGTACTTACTTACTTACTTACATGTTTACGTACTTACTTACTTACTTACTTACTTACTTACTTACTTACTTACTTACTTACTTACTTACCTACTTACCTACTTACTTACTTACTTACTTACTTACTTACGTACGTACGTACGTACGTACTTACTTACTTACTTACTTACTTACTTACTTACTTACTTACTTATATACAAACATATATGTATATATGTATGGGTACAGGACCAGGGGCCTTCTCCCAGCTGCCTCGGGTCTCCGGGCTCCTTGGGGACCCTCTCCAGCGACCACAGAGCCGCCCAGACGGCCTTGAGTGGTGCCACAGAGACACCAGAAGGTTTCATGAGGTCCCGCGGGCCTTCCGGGCAACCCTAGATAGCTTCAAGACGGCCCATGAGGATTCGACTTTTGCTCCCCAGAGGGCCCCAAGAGGCAAAAACCATTGATTTACCATGGGTTTTTGTTCGATGTTTCTGGGATTCTCAATTTTCGAGCTTCCGACGCTCCACGACGCCCAAGAGGCCTCCTAGACCGCCCCAAGACGGCCCCAGAGACCCCCAACACCGCCCCAAGACGGGCCAAGAGGGTCCCAAGACGGCCCCAAAAGGGGCCAATGACGGCCCAAGAAAAGCCGCCCAGACGGCCTTAAGTGGCGTCACAGTGACACAAGAAGGCTGCGAGATGTCCCGCGGGCCTTCCGGGCAGCCCCAGACAGCTTCGAGACGGCCCAAGAGGACTGCACTTTCGCTCCCCAGAGGGCCGCAGTATGCAAAAACAATTGATTTACCATGGGTTTTTTCAAACATGTTTTTGGGAGTCTCGACCTTCGAGCTTGCAACGCTCCACGACGGCCCAAGAGGCCTCCTAGACCGCCCCAAGACGGCCCCAGAGACCCCCAAGACCGCCCCAAGACGGGCCAAGAGGGTCCCAAGACGGCCCCAAGAGGGGCCCAAGAGGGCTCCACGACGGCCCCAAGAGGGGCCCAAGAGCAGGAGACCGAAAGGACAATTCGACCCTTTCGTCCCAAGATGCCCCCACACGGCCCAAGAGGGCTCTCCGAGCGCTCCCCAGTGGGCCCCAAGAGCAAACATCATCGATTCCCCAAAGTTTTTCAATGCTTTCGGGCCTCTCGACTTTCCCAGCTTCCGACGCTCCACGACGTCCCTCGAGGCCCCCAAGACCGTCCCGAGACGGACCGCCAAGAGGCCGGCCCGAGCGCGTCCCAGATGCCCCCAAACGGCTTTTAGAGGACTCGAGCAGCGCTCCCCAGATGGCCGCAAGTGGCAAAAGCAAACGATTTCCCCTGGGTTTTAATGTAGTTTCGAAGGTCTCCACTTTTCGAGCTTCCGGCGCTCCACGACGTCTCAAGAGGCCCCTGAGACCGTCCCGAGATGGCCCAAGAGGCCCCAACGAGGGTCCGACGGCCCAAGAGAACCCCTAGGCGGCCCTAGACGCGCCCACGACACCCGAAAGAGCTCCGAGACGGGCCCAAGAGGGCCTTCAACTTAACCATATTTGTATTACATTCAATGGCATTCTTGGTCCCGTCTCGGAGCTCTGTTGGGTGTCGTGGGCGCGTCTAGGGCCGTCTAGGGGTTCTCGTGGGCCGTCCTGGGACCCTCGTTGGGGCCTCTTGGGCCATCTCGGGGCGGTCTCAGGGGCCTCTTGAGACGTCGTGGAACGCCAGAAGCCCGAAAAGTGGTGATTTCGAAACCACATTAAATCCCAAGGAAAATCGCTTGTTTTTGCCACTTGCGGCCATCTGGGGAGCCTGTTAAATTGTTGGGGCTCGGTGAGCGCTGTGGGAGCTCCCTTGGCGCCACGTTGGCTCCTTGGAGGCCGTGTTTGAGCCTGTCGCGGTGGCTTTTGTGGGCCTCTCCGTGGTCCTGACGTCCAGGTGCATCGGGGATCGTCGTTGGAAGCCTGGTGGCCCTCGTCGGTCCTCTCGAGGGCGTCTTGAGCCGTCTTGAAGCCCTCCTTGGAGTTTCTTGCAGGCCCGGGACAGCGGTGCCAGAGATGGCCCAGGATGGCCCACATCCGCGGGGGGGCAGGGCGCTCAGGAAGGAGAAGGAGAGACGAAACCAATGGACCACGAAAGCCGAACATAGGAGTCAGGGAATGACGAAAGCGGAGAGTCAGGAGGAACAGAAATGGAGAGCAGCAGCTGAGTAGGGCTAAGTCATCACTTCTCGTCCCCCGCCTCCTGCTTCCGCCCCATGACCCCCCTCGATGTCGTTGTTTTCTGTCGTGTCTCAGCCCGCCTCCCATCTTCCTGCGCCTCCTGCTCCTCCTCTTGTCGGTGGAGGCGGCGCTCATGTTCCCGGGCCCCCTGCGAGGCCCCAGAGTGACCTTGCAGAGGGCAGCGCCTCGGTCCGGTCCGAACTCGCAAGCGTCGAGCCTCCCAGGTAGGGTCCATAAACGAGGCAAGAAACACGGAAACCATGGCCAGGATGTCGCGGTATTTGTTGATGCCGACCTTGGTCATGGTCCATGTCAGCCGCCGCGGGGGTCTAGGATTTGTGAGGGCCCCGCCAGTGAGAGGAGGTGGCCTCGACCCCCTCCACATGACGGGGGTGCACAGGCGATTGATGCCCTGGTGGCGCGGACGCACCCTGACGGGGCTACGCCGCGGCCGCCTTCACCCCGACCCCCCCCGCCCGACCCCCCCCCGCCTCGGGTAAGGCCGTAACCGGGGAAAGAAATATACGGTCACACAAGAATCCTGAGCTCCGACATTGCGACAACATTGCGACATCACGAACAATCGCGACTGGCCCGATTTTTCTGCACCATCTCTTGAGCCAGATCGATCCGTCATGGTCCCGAGCCCCGAGGCTGGGCGAAAACGCACAGTGTCGTAGGGTCGTCCGATATCGGTGTCCTGGGCCGAACAATAATATATGGCGTCGGAGGATCGCGCCGCCCCGCCGAAACATCGCCGATGCGGTTCTACGTGGATACCGATGTCCTCCACGCCGACGGCGCCGATGCATCACCGACGTCGCCGACGCATCGCCGATGCATCTGAGATGCATTGGCGATGTGGCGCCATCCTCCGATCCCATCAACAACAGCGAAAAATTGCAACCGGAGCCCCTGACCCCATCTTTCTGCGCCACTTTTCGAGCCGGATCGATCCGCCAGGGTCCCGACTCCCGAAACTGGGCGACAAAGCAGAGACATGCTACGTCCTGATTTTTTCAATGCGGGGCCTCTGGAAGTCCTGACCCTTTCCTCAGGGCCAGCGTTTCATCCCGGGCCGCTCTTTGACGGTCCGGGGGCACGGCGAGGGCCCCCAGGGGCGGAAAACGGCCACACGCTTCCCGCCCTGATTTTGCCACGACGCGAGCATGTTTGGGTCGGGGATAGCTCAAGGGGCCCCTGGTCCAATGTGCCCCTAGCTTGTCGCTCAATTTTGGAGCCCCTGGGGCCCTCTGGGCCTCGTGGAGGGCGCTCTGGAGGCGGGGGGGCCCCCGTGGACATCCTGGGGGCACTTTCGGCCAGACGCCCTCAGATGCCCCGAGATGCCCCCAGACGGCCCACTAACTCTCCAGGAGCGCTCCCCAAATGAGCGCAAGAGGCAACAACCAATGATATTCCATAGGTTTTTCTGTGCTCTGGAAGGTCTCGACTTTTCCAGCTTCCAGCGCTCGACAGGCCCCCCAGACCGCCCCGAAACGGCCCAGGAGGGTCCTAAAACTGCCCAAGAGAATCCCAAGACGGCCCTAGAGGCGCCCAAGACGCCCCAAGAGAACTCCGAGACGGCCCAAAGAGGGCCCCAAATTC